GGGGGGGGCATATAGTGTTGCACATGTCCGTCCCGTCCCATCCATGAGCCATTTATGTCTTACATTTTCTAGTTTTGTAATTGTTGCACAATAAAGAATGTTTGTATGGATTCCATTACACGGTTGGCCTTTTAAGTGCAATACATATGCCGAATGTAGGTCGCTATCATAATAAAAATATACAGAAAGAATCATCTCATATTTCATTGTTGTTTCAAATATAGTGGAATTCATACTCGACGCTTGTCTAAGCAATGAACGGTCGTTAGAAGTGAGGAGAAGGGGCTTAAGTGCTGGATGAGATTATACTAATTTCATGTCGTGTTAACTTGTTTTTGTCACCAAAATACTTAATATTTCGTTATAAAAGTGCGTAGAGAAACATACTTAAATTAAACTGTTAATTAATGCCAGGCGTTATCTCTCGCCATCGATTAAGTCGTGTTTCTTTTATGGGAAAAATCGTTCATCTGGTTCGGGAATCAAAATGAGTTTCCAAATTCGACTTTCTTTCAAAACAACACTATATCTTTTATAGATGGAAATTTGGAATCAAATCCCATTCATTACAGCAATTAAAAGCTTCAAACCTGTACATTCTGTTTCTCTTCTTAGTCCTTTCGGTTTACACTTGGTGCTTCATAAAGATAGAGCTAAGAAGTAATTCGTTAAATAGCTATTTCACCATAACGGTAGTCGTGTACGATACAGGTAAACAGTGTATACTACTACTGATCAATGTAAACAAACCCAGTATTACCCGGTAGTCAAACGTTTACTCCAGTTACGTACAAGGTAAACAACTTTATCGGATATCCATTGACAGACGATTAGAGCCAAGATAAGCTGGAAATCAAGCGGATAATAAACCCTTACATGAACGATGCGTTGTGTCAGAGTTAATAGGCGGTATTACGTTTTTATAGTCGACCAAAACAAATTCGGGTATTGTGTATTACCTGGATTATGTAATTGAGTAACTGACATTGCCCGTACGTACCACTGCCCAAAACTGTAACGTCCCGGAAGTGTTAGAAGGTGTTTTTCCGGCATGACTATAGTTTTGATATATTATTTCTGAAGAGAAAGCCATACCTTGTGGGACTTTAGTGAGAAATAATAAAGATGGAAAAAAATTATCAACAACAGTGTTCTAAGTTGAAAATGTTAGGGCGGCTAAACCGGGATTCGAACACTGGGCTCATTTAAGATTGTAATGCTATCGCTCTAGCCACCGGAGCTATCTAGTCAACGGGAATGTCCTGGCCAAATTTTTATATTTAAACGGAAGTTGAAATGTGTAGCTGGTGAAATGTATGCGAGGATTTATGGACTTACCCAATAGGATGTCCAATAAATGTAATTTTACAATGAAATGTCACATTATGAGCAAATATATTGAAACGTCTTTTCCTTTTACAGGTGGGACGAGAATCCTCCAGCGTATCGCACGAGACCGGAAGCGGAAGGGATAGCAGAGAAAAATTCCGAAACAAAAAGCGACAAGTTGATGCGAGGGGAAGTCCTTCCCCCGACTGTGAGGACCCCAAAACTGCCTCTACAAATGCAGGAGTCTGAAACATCGTGAGTCTTATGGTCATTACTCTGTACATCAATTGCAGTTCATAGATGATTACTTTTTGTTTTTTAAATTTTGAATGTGTTTTCCTAGCTTTTCTCTCCAAGGCAAATAAGATGATGAGCATGAAAACTACGTGTATAATTACCCAATAGTGTGATTTCTAGTTTGTCAATGATTCGCGTGGTTTACTGTATTACTTCTCCGGTAGACTATAAAACCTAATACGTATTGATACATGTATGTTGTGTTTTGTAGAAAACCTGTGACATCTCCACTCAGGACCAGGCCGGAAGGAGTGACCAACTTCCAACGAAACCAGAACGGTTCCGAGATGGCGGCTATAATGAGAGGAGAAAACACAAATTCTTCAGCTCCCAAGAAGATGAATAGAAATCTGGTTCGGTCAGAGAATTGGTGAAACTTTCTCTAGTCATTGTCACAATGAAATTGGACGTTCGTTACCTTAAAGTAAGGATGGAGTAACCTACCCCTGTATGGTCCACCAGGTGTCGCTAGTAAAATCAACTACGCAACGACATCTAGTGGCATGCAACTTCATTCTAACGTTATGTAAAACATTGAGCATGTCGGTATGACAGATTATTCAAATTCAAAACTTGTGAATTGTTGTGAGTAATTAAAACATGTACATTAAAAACAATTTACAAGATTGAAATAAATTATGATGGATATAATTTCCAACTTTTAAAAATCAGGCATGACCTTTATTGATGATAACTTATCACTATTTTATTTCACAATTCCTTTTTAGCAAGACTATATGATATCAAATTTATTCTATGCAAAAGTTCTGTCCAATTTTTGAAAAATAAAACAAAATAAATTTGTCATATTTATTTTTATACTTTGACCATGGTTTACCAATAGAAGTAATTAGTGTTTTATATACTGTTTAAAATAATTTAGACTTTTTAATGTCATACAACTGTCTTTATGCCTGAGTAAATATCATGTTATAATGAAATGATATGTTGCCCTCCAACCCTGTTCTCTTTAGGACACGTGTCTGCTGTAAAGTTATTTTTGACTTTTTTAACCCATGGCGTTAGGTAAAGCTATGGGGTGATTGAATCACCTGGCAGCCGTTTCCTGTTATATGTTAGTGTTCAATGACTTACATATCAGCTAGTGTGTGTGTATGTATACATTAATGTCCAAACGGTCACCAGGCAACAATCTGATGTTTGTTTTGTTATACATTATGTATAAGTACTTGACAACCATTTATATTTGATTTATCAAACCACCTTATAGATATTTTTATATTAAACCTAATTTGGTTGTCATGAATTTCATTTGAGTAATTGTTATGCATGTAAGATTTGTTTTTGTTTCTTTTAAATATCTGAGTCTGTTTTTGTGTACACATTACAAATGGTTTGGAGTTGTTATCCCCTTAACACTTTATAAATTTAATTTATACATTTAAGATCTGATGATTTTTACAAGAATAGATAGGGGGAGTTAGTGAACAAATATTGTGCTTAATGTGATGTGAGTGTTTGCCCTATAACCAATGATGAACACTGCCTATTACAATGTGCTTGCAGCAACTCATTAAATATCCCTCATCAATTAAACATAAGAATGAAATTCTCCAAACTAAATAGCTGAATCATATGTTAATTGTTTTGAGTGATAATTCGATTAACGCGTTTTGTTTTAAATAAATCAACAATAAAATGACAAGTGTGTTAGTATGATCTGTTGGGTGAGGCCACAGGGGCATGTAGTGTTCTAATGACTAAATAGAAGATGACAAGTCCCTGTGATTGAGGTCGCTGTACCTAGTTGTGTTGACTATTATGTGTTCATAGTACTTATAAATACTCTGTAAATCAACGTTGTTAGATTTTGTTTTGTTTTGTAAAATATTTTAGGTTAATGATTAATGCAGGTTGTTTTTTTGTAGTTACATAAGGATTTTCTGGACTCATTTTTCACAGCTTTATATCTTTCTAAAATAAAATTATTAAAATATGACAAGATTTCTTTCCTGATTTATGGTTTATAATTTTAAGTGAAATTTGATATTTCATTCATTTATAGTCTTTTTCACAAAACCGCTTGATGCTTCCATTATCTATTCCACAGAAAAAGCGTTATGCCAATCGGGAACCGTCGGCACTTTCCGTAAACTCGTTTACGGAAAGTGCCGACGGTTCCCGATTGAGCTTTATGCTTCACTTCTATAGTCTGTTTCATAAAATGTTATGAATTGTCTGCTGTGATATTTAGAAGTAGTGAAAAGTAAAATTGTAACCACCATATACAAGTATTGCTGGAACAGTACAGTGTATGAAACAGACTATAACTAAACAGAAGGTGCTAAAACTAACCCACCTTACTTAATGGTATTATATTTTTGAGATTTTATTAAAGTTATTTATCAAGCTCTCCTTACTTTGTAAATCTGTAATAAACGTAAGGCTATATTGATGAGTAACTGTGATTCTGATTTTAATGTTGCATGACTTGAAAATGTACACGTGCTGCAAGCCCTGTATCATAGAGTATACGTCACTATGAACTAGTGGGCGACGCACTGTTTCACCAGTAATAAGTGTTAGGGCCAGATGAAGGATTAGAAGAATCAGTTTCTAAACGCATAAACATCTATTATTTGTAGAAAATCCTTAACATGTGCCTATCACTCGTAAAGTGTATTTTATATCAGGTGCATTTATTATGCAAAGTAATTTTGAAAAATACAGTTATGAAGAATATAACAGATATATCAGATTTCACAAATAACCCTGTACGTGTATTTAGGCTAGTGTCACTATGTTAAAATATGTCTATACAATACAATGTACATAAATACAACTGAACATGTTTCTGTAACGTCAGTGTATGCTGTAACTGAAGGCCGTGGGCCAACCAATGTAATAAAAATCAACTTCAGAGTGTGTCTTTGTGTTTTCTGTGAATTACCATCAGTTTCTTGTTTTTATTTTCGGTTTTTTTCCTTCTGTTCACTGTTTGTAACTCACAGTGAATAGGCAGTGATTCTTTAAATTGCATTGGTTTAGTCAAACTTGTTAATCTTTTCTGTGTAGTTGGACATTTTGGATATGGGAAACATTAAAGAAATTAACAGATATATTTTACACTAGGAAGTATAACCAAACGTACAAGTGATGATACAGAAAGTTTATGAAACTGATTTGGTGCCACTATCGCAGGGAGGTGCATCTCCTTAATAGACTCCCGTCTTCTGCAGTAAAGTGACCCACTATTAATTAAAATTTGTCGGTTGTAGTAAGCGATTGTGTGGTTCCGTCATTAGTGGACACGGTCGTCATATGATGTTAGCTGTTGTTTGGTCGAGTCATAAGACGATGGCTTAGGTAACATACATGTTCCAATGCGTCCAAAAGCGGTTAAACCATTATCGATAGTAAATTTCAGTATTGTAGAAAATGTTTTCAGTTAAAGGAAATGACAGGTGTTTTTGGAACAAATGCATAGACAGACAGCTATACGGGAACGTTCTGCAACAGGAAGAACGCGCGTACTGCGACTATTGAAACGTGAAGGATAACTGAAGAAGGACAAATCCAAAACAAAAGTCATAATGCCCAAGCGCAACTGTGCAGTGAAAAAATAATCTTCCCTTTCGTGTAAGCAATGAGCTGCTACGTCCAAAAACATATATAAACGCCATCAACACAAACATGGTTTCCTTCCCATTAAAAAATCATCAACGCAAACATGGTTCCCTTCCCATTGCAAATCATCAGCACAAACATGGTTCCCTTCCCATTACAAATCATCAACACACACATGGTTCCCTTCCCATTACAAATCATCAGCACAAACATGGTTCCCTTCCCGCCATCAACACAAACATGGTTTCCTTCCTATTAAAAAATCATCAACGCAAACATGGTTCCCTTCCCAATGCAAATCATCAGCACAAACATGATTCCTTTCCCATTCCAAATCATCGGCACAAAATCAACACAAACATGGTTTCCTTCCCATTACAAATCATCAACACACACATGGTTTCCTTCCCACTAAAAATCATCAACACAAACATGGTTTCCTTCCCATTAAAAATCATCAACACATACATGGTTACCTTCCCATTACAAATCATCAACACACACATGGTTTCCTTCCCATTAAAAATCATCAACACAAACATGGTTACCTTCCCATTACAAATCATCAACACAAACATGATTCCTTTCCCATTACAAATCATCGGCACAAAATCAACACAAACATGGTTTCCTGCCCATTAAAAATCATCAACACAAACATAGTTCCCTTCCCATTGCAAATCATCAGCACAAAGATGATTCCTTTCCCATTACAAATCATCAGCACAAAATCAACACAAACATGGTTTCCTGCCCATTAAAAATCATCAACACAAACATAGTTCCCTTCCCATTGCAAATCATCAGCACAAAGATGATTCCTTTCCCATTACAAATCATCAGCACAAAATCAACACAAACATGGTTTCCTTCCCATTACAAATCATCAACACAAACATGGTTTCCTTCCCATTAAAAAATCAACAACGCAAACATGGTTCCCTTCCCATTGCAAATCATCAGCACAAACATGATTCCTTTCCCATTACAAATCATCAGCACAAAATCAACACAAACATGGTTTCCTTCCCATTAAAAATCATCAACACAAACATGGTTTCCTTCCCATTAAAAATTATCAACACAAACATGGTTTCCTTCCCATTAAAAATCATCAACACAAACATGGTT